GCCAAACAGTTCTCGGGAACCAAGAACGGTCCCAGGATCTGAATCAGACCGGATTCGCTCTCTATTTAGGGTATGTTCAGGTCGACTACATTTTAGATTGGATCTAATTATCCTCAGGTTTATTTGGATCTGGTCTGACTGTACTTGGATACCCTTTTTTAATTTAATGAATGCATGTCTGATTCAACGTTTTGGACCAGTGAAGACCTAGTTAATCAGCTGCCACATAATTAGTCATCCAGCAGAGCAATATCATCTGAGGAAGCTCTGTCCAACACCATAACCTTTGTAAACCACAGGAAAAGATGGATGACGATTATCAAGGACCATCACTTTATCCACACGATCTTAGCTTCAGAGTGCTTGTCTGATCGTCAAACAGTGTGTGCAACCTCTACCATCCCTATCCGACATTAGAATTGTGTGCATCCAATATTATTTGTACTTTTCCGAAAGCAACAATCCAACAAACACCTTCACTTAAGGCGTTGATTGGCCAGGTGTCTCTTACGCTTTCTTTTTGTCTTCAGAACCAGTGGAAGCCCACAAATGCATTCATGGAGAGACTGTCTAAAAGGGTGTGTCGTTATCCTTGTTTGTGCCATTCATCGCAGCTCACCCCACTACCCTAACTATGTGTAGTAACACTATACATCAAATACAAAGGTTTGGGGACTGTGTCTGCAAGTTTAAAAAAAATAAATGGAAGCTGATGACAGAATATTTGGCAGAGACATCAGCAGTGCAGACAGTAAGAGAGCTCATCAGGAAAGAACAGACTGAAATTTAACCCAGACCAGGTGTGCTCTTTGTTGAATCTGTGCTTGAAGCCAAGATATTTCAAGTAAAAAGAGAAACATGACAGCACCACAGGTTCACTGGTGTCCACCATTGTAGACAAGGTGCACATGGATGAAACCCTAGAGAGGGAGTTACATCAGTTTCAACAACAAACTGTCTTTTCTGGACTGTGGAGACAGGGTTTACAGAAAAGCCATTTACACAGATCACTAGCAGCATTCTTCTTCACACCATCCACACCATGCAAACTGGAAGTATAATCTGGACACCACTGGGCAGAGACCATATCAACAAATACAACACACTAACATCAGACATTGGAAGGCTTTGAAAGCCTGCAGTTACCCTCGCTGAGCTTTCATTAAAAAAGCAAAAAGAACACCAGATCAAAGGAAAAAGCAGACCACAATGAAAAATGAACATATTGTCTTCCCATATGTGGCTGGAAATTCTGTGGAGCTCCAAGGGTTTTTTCCAAACTCAAAATGACTTTTTTAAGCCTGGCAATATGCTGAGACAGAAGATGGTTTCTCTGAGGGGCTGCGTTGGCAAACATTACTGCACACCTGAGTCGAAACAGCACGTTAACATACCCATGCAGAATATAATGGTTCCAATGCTTTACACTCGCTTACAGAAAATAGAGCTTGTACAACTTCAGAGATGAATAAATATATTTCCTATAAAGATGGATGCTCAGACAAAGTTATTGTAAACTACAGCAATATGACCAAACTATATATATAGCTGTTCATTGTTGACCTTGGAAACAACTGACAACACCACACCAGGTAGCTGTTCAGAAGCTTGGAAACATATTACCAGTGATGTGGAAGGTTGTTTTCTGGCTCTGTTTAACTGCCCCTCATGCAGTAAGGGATTAACAAAATGGAGCAGGATGTGAACGGGACCGGCACCAGACCAGCTTCTGGCCGACTGAGCAGCTCTCCAGTGCTGCTGGCCTCTTACGGTACAGGTTGGCTGCTGTCACATCCTTTTCTCTGCTCCGTGCTGTCAAACCAGCCCACGGCTTAATTATTTCTTGAATCAGAAGAAGTTTTAATTTTGAAAATAGCTAAGCTACACAGCCACTATTGGGAGTTAAACTAGTGTAGAGCCGCTTGACATATAATTACAGATGTTTAAATTTTTCTTAAAAGCTGAGGTTTAAAGTTAGTGCTTGACTATCTAATGTTATGCAGCTCCATACCAACAAACTGTGATGTACTGTGTGTTCTGACCCCTTTCTATCAGAACCAGTATTAACTGTTTCAGCAGTTTGAGCTACAGTAGCTCATCTGTTGGTCACACGGGGCAGCCTTCACTCCCCACGTGCATCAGTGAGCCTTGGCCGACTATGACCCTGTCCCCGGTTCACCGCTTTTCCTTCCTTGGACCACTTTGACCACTGCAGACCAGGAACACCTCACAAGAGCTGCAGTTTTGGAGATGCTCTGACCCAGTCGTCTAACCATCACAATTTTTCCTACATCAACTTTGAAGACAAAATGTTCACTAGCTGCCTAATATATTCCATCCATTGACAGGTGCTACGATAACCAGATAATCAGTGTTATTCACTTCACCTGTCAGTGCTCACAATGTTATGGCTGATTGGTGTTGGTGTATCATATCATATTAGATTCATAGGACCTTTCTAGGTTATTTTTTTCCTTTTCATCATTGACTTAACCGTTTTGTTTCTTGCAACGTATCTGAGCAGTTCTAGTAGTGATCAACTCTGCTATTGGCCCTGCTCAGTCAGGAAAGGCAGACTTCAGTTCAGTTTCAGTCCAGTAAATTGTTTTACACTTGGTTGGACAGATTTTATGGATGTCCAATGACTGGATAGAAGCTGGAACGATTCTCCACAGAATTAAGTTTCCCTCAGTGTACGAAACTAATTTGTCCTGTTTTGTGCACATCTTACAGGGTAAATGGAAGACACTGCTCAAATAAAGCTACATCATTGTAATTGCTTACAGGCAGGAGCTTTGACAGGCAATGTAAGTAAATAGTGCTCTCATGTTTTACATTTATCTCCAACTTTTCACTTGCAAACCAATTTGGATGACTTAGTATGTCATTTGGAGAACTTGTTAACTTGCCTAAAAAAGAAAAAGCTTGGCAAGTTTCTAAAATGTTTGTTCAACTTCTTGCCTTATAAGGCATGCATAAATACATAAATGCACAAGCTAGCCTTTTTAAAAGCCACACAAATGAATATTTTTATATTACCAACTGAAATAATGACTAGCTGTGATGTGAAAGATGAGAATACTGTATAACCAAACTCTGCAGTTCCCTTGTGTTCTATGAAGCATATTGGTGTCTTTTAGCTTATTGTTTTGGTTTTACGGCCCCACAGCTTTACTGTTTTGGTTTAGTATTACAACTCTTATCAACTTTGTTTCTAGCTGCAGTTTTCAGGGTAAAATCCCCACAGTACGGCAACTGTCAAGCAGACAGATAAAGTTAGCATCTAGCTGGTGGAGCTAGAAGCGAGAGGTTAAAGACCAAAACTAAGCAAAAAGGGTTAATTACTGTAGGTAGCCAGAAACACCAGCTCTAAATGAAAGCTAATGTAACTAGCTAGTTTGTGAGATAATATGTTAATGTTGAGTTTACGGCTTTTCGGACTGGCCAAAGGCTATCGAGATCAATTAATGCAGCTTTAATGTTAATTTTGTACTTTCTACTCAAGTGCTGAGAAAAAAAATAAATTCTCTGCTTGATCTCCTAGTTTCAATCATCAAAATGGAAGCAATGTAATAATGTTGAGGAAAGAGCACCATCACCATGGATCTGCACGTATATGAGCACAAAAATCCAAAAGAAGAGTATTCTTATCTCTCGCTGTTACCTTTTCCTGCTGCTGACACCTTTAATCTTGTATCTGCCAAATATAAAAGCCCAATGATCTGTCTCTAAAGCTGCTTCACTGTACAGCCGCATATTGCTTCGCAGTGTGATTTTACCTGAAGCAATGTGTCACTTCCTCCGTGCCTCTCAGGGGTTTAACATAATTGCATTCGTTATCCAAACTACACACCTACCTCCTATTGTAAGTTCCAGCTTGACCCGGACGTCATTCGGAACACAACTCCCTGGGCAACTGTAATTGATGTGCACTTGTTCTTTATGTTCTTAGGTAAATACTTCTTAATAGAGTGGGACAGCTCAAGACCTCAATGTAATCACAAGTGTTTAGCACTCATTCTTCGTACTCTCTTCATCTCCACAGCTAATTAGAATCAATAAACATGGTGAACAAACAAGACTCATTAGGGCTTCCACTATCTCCTTCCTCCCCAGGCAAAAGCCTATAGGGTGACATTTTTGTATGTCTTTTCCAACCCCCAAACCTGCGTTTAAGAATTGCTCTCAAGCTCAGTGCTGGATACTCCATATATATAGCGAGCGTGGCGTCAAGAATAAAAACCCTTTGAAATTGCCATGAAGCTTTTGAAGCCTATGTCCCACTGCTCAATGCTCTCAGGGTTTTCATCTCTCCCTATCTCTCCTCATTTGCTGAGGAGCTCTCAGGGCCTCGCTGAGCAGCTGTTATGAACGCCAAGGAAAAAGCATCCACAGAGAGGAGGACTGCATGGACAGCTGGGCAGGGCTCTGCTGTACTGTATGTGCCGCAAGATGCTTTATGCCAACGCGCTGCTCGCAGTAATCTAAAAAGTTGTAGCAGCATGGGGGAGTATTTATAAAGTGCAGCAAGGCATGTCACTCATTTTCTAAGATATCAACTCTTTCACTACTTGTAATCCTGAAAGATAGAGGGAAGAGATGCACATCACAGGGGTGTGTTCCGCCAGCTCTATCCCAGAAAGTAGTCCGTTCCCCTACTGCGCTTCTACTTCACATCTGTGGTTGCGGTGGGTGTTGTTCATTTTCTATCTGAGTGGATTTGGAGGCTGAGGAGGCCACCCACCAGCTTGTGCACAGTGGGTGGTGGAAGTCCTCACAAGGAAAAGGAAAAGACTGACAGACAAAGAAAACACTCAACAGCAGCATGGGGAATGGCAAGGTCAGAAATTAGATGTTTTATCAGGCTGATAAACAGAGTGATACTGTAAACTGGCACCAGGACAGAGGCTGTTGTAATGAGATAGACTGTCAGGAAATGGGCTTAGAGAGTTGTGGTCTGATGAAGAAAAGGTGACTTCAATAAAAACCCTTCAATTTACCCAAAAGATGCAGACTTCCATTTGCGACAGGGGTAACTTCTTCTACATGGAGGGGCAATAAGCTTTAGAGGGATCTCTGAGACTTCTACGGGAAATGAGGCGTGTCGCCTGAAACATAAAAAGAGAGAGGCACATTGAGGCGGTTCATAATGCACATTTCATGAAGTTCAAGAAAATAAAGTAGCATATTTTCATTCAAAATCAGACAGCAGGTGATGCATGGATAAAGTTTCTGTTTCGGCATGAATGGTGGCGCACTGTATGCCAGAGAGGGGGTCCGTATGCATGCTAACTCCCACCTCGCTGAAGGTTGCATTTGGCAGAAAGAGAGAGATTACTTCTGTCCACTGCCCGCAGCATTTTAATGCCTTCAAATCAGGGCCGGGAACTCTCATATATGCATTATCACAACGGGCTAAATCAGCACACAGAGCTCAGTGCCAGGTAGGGAGCAGAGAGGAGGAGGAGGAGGACGGCGAGGAAGAGGAGGAGGAGGAGGAGGAGAGAGAGGGGCAGGAGATTAGACATGATCAGAATGTACCAGGCTGAGTGTAATGTGAGACGACAACAGAGGCTGTGGAGAACAGATATGAACAGGAAGAAAGCACGAGACAGGAGGAAGCAGATTAAAATTACTTTGTTATCTAGCTTGTTAGCATAATGACCTTCCACGTTATAATCTCTGAAGTGCCAGTACAGGAACTGCCAACAATACATGTTGTCATATTTTAGCAGATAAATTACAGTATGGCAAATAACACACACACAAACAGATAAAAGCTGTCTAAAGTATATATATATTTCAGTGGACATTTTAATCAAAGTATCATTGAGGTCTGTAAAGTGGAAAAAAAGTGACGATCTAATTTTGCTTTACTCTACACACCTGTCACACAATGACCGGTTCATTGTGAATCATTTTTTTTTTATATGCATGTGTTCTCTCCATTAGTGAGATGAGGAGATTGATCATTTCATTTCTGTGACAAGTACAGAGCTGGAATCAGGACATGGTTAGCCTAGCTTAGCATAAAACCTGGAAGCAGGGGGAAGCAGCTAGCCTGCCATGCCAAAGGTAATGAAATACCTAATAATATTTACACTAATATACAAAGAGAAATGTGTTAAATCAATAAAACAGCCAGGTGCAGTAAGCAAAGGCCAATGTAAAAACAGATGTTCCAAAATGTCAAAAACATGACCGCACACTCCAGAGGGTCAAACTAGCCAGCTAGCATGCCAACTTCCCAATACCACAAATTCTGACTGTAATTTCTGATGGTTTTAATGTTTAATATAAAATGTTTACTGATTTTTTAATGTCTTTTGACAAGCTGTAATTCATGCTGCCTCTGACCACTGAGAATCCTCTCAGCCAACACATTCTCACTCCCAACTCCTCAAATACTGCCAAATTGGTCAGTGGCTTCCAAATCGGACGTTGTAGGTTTGCTTTAAGCATCATTTCTGGACATTCAGGACATCCACTGGTCAAATTAGCAAGAAAAAATATTCGATGTATGCAAACATTAGTCAAGTTAACAATAATTATCCAGTTAGACTTTTAAAATAAAGCTAGCACGATTAACGTTGTGGCAGAGTTGCAGTTCGGTTAGGTTTAGGCACAAAAACTATTGGTAGGTTAAGGAAAAGATCGTCAGTTATGTTACGTACATTATGTAACCTAAAAGAAATTCTTTGCATTTGGTTTTCACTCGTGACACCAACAGCAGTCTCGTGGGTTAAAGTCCTGTATTTGAGCCATCCATTCACCCCACCACCTCCATAAGCAGACTTTCTCACTCTTAATACTACGTCACCAGACTTTGTTGGCACAACCAAAAAGGGCTCGAGAAGGATACCTACAGGGCCACTGACCCGGTGGGAATATTTGACGACGTCGGAGTAAAACTGGGTCATCTCCACAAAAAAAAATGTCTATGACAGAGAAGACTTTGTAATTGTACAAGTGATGTAAAGATTTTTCAAGTTTTAATTCTCAACGATCTGGCATCTTTTGCAGGACGGCAATGTTTGTCAGTACTGGTTTATATTAGGGTTTTCTGACTTGCCACATCTATGCTTAAGGTTTTCTTAAGTTTAGTCAACTAAAATTACTTGGTAAGTTTAGAGAAAGACTGTGGTAATGGTTAAAGGAAACAAACATTTATCGTCGGTGCCAGACAGGTCATGAACTGCGGTCTGTGCTGTCTTCCAGTCAGGCACTTTGAACATCCAGCCATCCACCCCAGCCTCCTCCCTAAGAGCTTTGTGGCGATATAAAAACTTTACACTACTTTGCTTCTAAGAATATACAGTCACTACTTGCAAGACTGCAAGTGTACAAGAAAGAAGAAAATGCACCCAAAATGCACCTGCTGCCATTTTCCGGCGAGGAGAGTCAACTTTCTGTCAATTTTGTTTGGGACAGATGCAGGGAGCAGAGTCCAGGTAAACCTTTACTGGACAAATAAAGCACAAGGGAGGGAGAACACCTATACATCTCTTGCTGTTTAATTGCTGTGGCTGGCTGAGTAATGGAAGAAGCAGCCACTTGTCATTGAAGCATCCCCCAGGGAGGACTGATGCAGACTTTTGCCTCTGGACGACTTTAGCCTGCTCTTTGCTGCAGGCCAGTCCTACTGTACCTTCACAACACATCACAGCAAACACTGCCAGGGAGAGTTACCTTGCCTGGTGTTTTCACGGTGAAATGTTCTGTGTTCTTTCCTGGGAAAAAGTAAGTTCTTGCAAAGTCATTCTGCTCAAATAGATTTTTTTTTTTTTTCCCAAACGTGTTCTTTTCTAATAGCAGCGACAACAGCGCCTGTGTCTCAAAGACACACAAGCATCAAAACAATCACAGAGGGAAACCAAACATTTTCTGCTCTAAAGAGCTTTGCAAGTGGCAGCGCTATAATGCAAAACTGAAACCCAGATGCTCCCAACTGTTTGGCACTTTACTGCTTGGCGCTGGGAATTAAGGAGCATTTAAGTCGGTCTTGATGAACTCATAAACCTTCAAGGTGGACAGTCGGGGAAGCATTAACTTCAAGAGAGTTGGTTAAGGCTGATATAAAAATGAGCACTAAAGAGATCACTGTGATTAGCCTGAGAAAAGAACAAGACGGGGGGAATAACAACGATGGTTCAGCCTAGAAGGGATGATGACTTTGGAGAGGAACACTGTGGGTTTAGTGTGATCAGACACTCTTTCCAACAAGCACTGGCATTTCGGCCAACCCCTACAAGAGGCTCCAGCTATTTTAACTTTTTTTGATTTATGAGGACAGTACAGCCCAGAAGCAGGATGATGTTTTTTTTGACTACCACACCATATTTTTTGGATTAAAAACAGAATATATTGTGGAAATTTTCTTCCATTAAAGAACTTCTGCCTAGTGTTCTAACTTAAAGTAATTATCTGCACCATTTTTAAATGACCATTACATTTTATTTTTTGACTACTTTCCACTGATGAGCGATCGGATGGTTGGATGGTTGGAGTATACATTGCTGATTAGACTGCCTGGTTTTAATAATGTCTGGTTTTCAAATGTCGTTGTCACACTTTTTCATAATCAATCACACTGTAAGAAGTGCTTACACCTATATTTAACTGCAATGTGAATGTAGCCAAAATATCAAGAAAATGTAGCTCTTGTAGATTAATCAAGGGGCAACCTCTGTAGGTGGAAAATGAAGCCAACGCGCAAGTAACAACAACTGCAGTTCCTCAAATGGCCACTAGAGTCTGGCTCCAGAAGTGAGTCAGTCTCCTTGAGGCCCCATATTAAAATGCCCAACTTTACAGCAGAAATAAACATGTTTAAGCCTGGTAGAAAAAACGGTTTTGGTTTCTATAGCTAATTTCCCTGTTTATGACAACTGTACGGGGTATTTATATAACTCACCCGTTTAAATAATTAAGGCTTAAAGTTATTGCTCTTAGTTATTCATAATTTAGGGCGTTCCCACTTTGAGTGACAGTTGGGTGTTTTTAGTAACCAGGCTTCATTCAGCCTGCCTCTTGATGACTGAGACTTTTATTTTTGGAAATATATATTATGTAAAATGGTCAATAGCAACTTTCTTGTACATTAACTGACATCACCTGTACGTTCAGATATTAAAAGGATAAGACATAATTCTATCTTTTTTTTCTTATTATCAACAAATCCCATGAAAAGACCAAAACTAACAATTTGTCAGTCTGTCTCTCAGTATTTTCTGACTTTCCTACTGTGTCTGGGTTATTCAAGTCCATTCCTCATAAAGATATACAGTAAATACCTGACAAATAGTTTAATTGAAAAGGCTCAGCAGTTTCCTAAAATACCTGTGCACTGTAATTTTTAGCAAACGTTACTCAAACAGAAGGAAATAGTGCATTTGTTGGAGACTAATTTCTGACATGGATCAATATTCATTTGGTGCTCTAGTGAGTATTCGGGGCAGCAGGACGGTGTGTGTGAGGTTGTGTGTATATAAACTATAGTGTGTGTGTTCGTCATGGTAATGAAGGAACATGTCACCCAGTGCAACAGTGTGGCTTATTGATGTGTTTTTTTTAAAGTTATTATTTTTTTGGCCTTTATGCCTTTATTTTTGATAGAGACAGCTGAAGACAGACAGGAAAGGTGGGTAGAGAGAGAGGGGATGACACGCAGCAAAGGGCCGCAGGTCGGACTTGAACCAGGGCCGCTGCAGTATATGGGTCGCCAGCTCTACCGACTGAGCTAACCGGGTGCCCTATTGATGTGTTTTTAATAGTTTTTGGCACAGAGGAAGATATGTCAGACTTTGATACATACTCAATACTTGTTAGGAGATACTGTCACTGTTGGTTTAGGTCTTAGCATTGGATTGCTGACTTTAGTAAAAATATTGAGGATCACCAGACTTATCCTTTTTATCAGAATTACCTTTACCTTATTATTATCACATTACATTGAACCTGCTTGGGTTATTATTATTGATAATATAAAAATTCTATTCTATATGTGCCAATTTAAAGACCATCACCATTAGAATGTGTCCTCTTTGGGACTGTTCGTCGAACTGTGGCTTGGCGTCACGTTTCGGATTTTCTCCATTAAACAGGAAGT